GGTGAGCATTACCAAGCGTCGCGCCAGTCGGTACTTGGGGCATTCCAAACTCGTTCTTGGCACGACTCGACTCCGGAGAACCACCGTCGCTTCCCGCGACGTCCGAGTCAAAAACGGCAGTTTAACCGGATTTGCCGGAAGAGCTCTCGCCACCATCAGAACGCCCTTTTGCCTCAGAAGCTGCAGGGGGCGACGAAGCACCTCCGCTGCCACTCTTAGCAGCCGATCGAACAGATCGAGGGAGATGATTAGGAGGACCAGCGGATGAAGGAGATGACACCGGCCGTGTAGCTTTCTGGCCGACAGCCGCGGCAGACAGAAGCTCGATCGAGGACCTAGACACAGGGGCATGACTCGAAGTGCCAGCCTGGGAAAGACTTGAAGTCGATCGAGCGGCCTTGGAGACACGGGCAGACTGGGGTGGAGACTCGGACTCGGAGCGTGTTCGCTTGTGGCCCGGCGCGGAAGGGAGAAGGGACGCAATGCTGGACAACCTCTTCTGCGCCTGGTCCCGTTCGGCCCGTAGATCGGTGACTTCCATGAAACGCTGGCCGAGCAACTCATCTCTTTGGACTGCCAGAGCATCTTTCTCTTGCTGAAGCTTGGCGAGCGCGGACTCGAGATCCTGACGTGACTTCTGAGACCTCTCGACTTGGTCAATCCGTTTTTCCAGCCGCGCGATAGTGTCTCGAGCCGCTGAAGCACGATCCTCTGTGACACAAGGGACGAATTAGTGTGACGGCAGAAAAGGTATGCAGACAAGTACTCACGGGTAGCGATGTGAGCCGCCCTGGCCTGATCGCGTTGAGAAGTCGCCGCCTGAGCACGCTGAGAAGCCTTCTGGAGATCCCGATCCAGTGTCGATACCCGATCTTGCAAGCGGCCAAGCTCAGCTGTATGGGTTGCGATCGTGGTATCGGCCACCCTCAAGCGACGCTCGTAGTTGTCATTCAAGGTACGAAGGCGACAGTTCTTGCGCTTCATCGCGGCCTCGAGACGAGCTACCTCAGCCTGAGCAGCCTTGTGGGAGATAGCTGATTCGTGAAGCTCCGAAGCGAGGGCAGATTGACGATCGCGCGCGACTTGTAAATCAATC